GAGGGGCTTCGGGCCCCTGCCGGGAACGGGGCGGTGCCACCCCTTTTCTACAGAATTTTACCTTTTTTTTTGCTGCCGCCTTAAGCGCTGCTTCACGTCACGCCCGTGCACAAAGCGGGGGGAGCCCTCTCTGTAGGTACTGTCGGTGTCTTGGTGATCGGCTCGGTCAGAGGGATAGGCAAGGGCCTCTCCGGCACACGGGTGGCCCCTCTCCCTTGGAAAGCAAGCACAAGAACCCACCCAAGCGCCTCCAGCCAAATCCGGCCCCAACAAGCACTGCGCTAAAGCGTGCCTACCCTTTAAACATTTTTAAGGAATCAATTAATAGGTTCGCTATCTTTAAATAAACCCACAGCACCTCCCGGGTGCGAGCAAAGGATTGTAACACCAGCCCAGGACTGGCACGCAGCCAGGCTGGGCGAAGCCAGCCCACCGCAGCATCCCCAAACCGAGCGTCGTCTTCCACACAGCTTGATTTGAAGTCAATGCAAATACATAGCAAGCACTCCTCCTTTCACGCTTAGGACTGTGAAGGATCAGTGGGCAATGCCAGCCCTGCAGAGAGGGGGGAGCACAGCCTTCGCACGCCTACGCCCGGCACACGGGCACCAGAGGCCGGGAGTCACCCCGGCAATGGCAGAGAGCACAGAGGCACCCAAGGGCTGAGGAAGGCAGGGCAGGCACCGAAGGGCTGCCCCTTTCCTCGCCGCTCGCCCAGCGGGATGCGTACAGCGAGCTAGGAGACAGAGCAAAAGGTTACCTGCCCGGAAGGCCGCGCTGCTGCTTGCTGCCATGCCTTCCTCCTGCCTCGGCGTCAGGAACGGCAAGAGAAAAACACACCAGTGCGCGTTCACGTTTTAAAATACAACTGTTAAGGACGCTTTGGCGCACACAGGCGGGATGTTCTTCCATACCACACCACAACTAAAGCCCATGTTAGGTGCATTGAAAAGAGAAGCGAATAACAAAAGCGGCAGAGGTGCCAGGAAAAGAAAAAGGCGGCAGCAGCGTCAGGAGTGTTCTGCTGTCCGTTCACTATTAATATCAGTGGCCTAGAAGTCTGTTAACTGTGTGCCAAATCCTGCTCCCACGCATCAGCAACCATGCAGTACACAAGCAAGGGGGAGAGATCAGAGGATGCCCAAAACCGTGACACACAAATAACAAGGAGAGACGACAGTTCTGTTGAATATTTTAATATCTGCATTGCCTTCATAGCGCAATTAAAGCGATCTTTAAAATTCACTTATTACAAATGTTTGTCAAGTCTATTTTTCCCCAGAAACATTTTTCTTGCTTCCTTGCACATACACCCAAACACACTATAAAAACCTCATTCATAACATCAAAGGAAGGGCAATCATCATTCATGTAAACATCTTTCTTAGAGTTATCCATTTTTTTAAAAGTCATGAATAAACCTACAGATGTTCAGTAAGGCTCATAGTTCGAGTACAAATGTCATAAAACACCTATCAAGTACTGTATACAAGTTAAATACTCCGGGGTTAACTGTTAGCACACGTATAAGCTTACCCCAAGGATTATTCTTTAGCACTTAGTTCTTCAGAACAGAGACACCCAGTAATTATGGGCTGAAGAGTATTAAAATAGCAGAAGGCCCAGCAGAAACTGTTAAGTAATACACAATTTTAGTCTGGATCTTAGCTCAAGAGTTAAATTCAGTACAGTTACAGTAGGAAAAGTTTTCTAGGAGGAAATCTGCAGAAAGGAGGGATGGGTCCGTTTGTACAATATCATGGAGGGACAAGCTGAGAGGTATGTCCTGAAGATGTGACTGGCCTTGCTATTGCAATTATTTATGACAGCTGTGTGTAATGCTGCATAAATACTTTCCCAAATAGCAAAAACGACCATTTGCAATTGTAAAGATCATTTGTTGCACCTCCCCTTTAAAAAAAGAAATTATCTACTTATTGGTAACCAATTACACTTGCATCTTACAAAAAGACATCCTTTTAAATTTGGTTTAGATCTTACTGGAACTTTTTTTTCTTAAATATTCATTCTACCATGAAAATATTTCATACAAACATCATTTTACATACAAATACGTTAAAACTTGTGAAGGGGGTCTTCCCACGCTCATGGTTTTATGGCTTGAACATTTAATTGCTTAGAATTTTTGTATATATATATTTCTTCTGGAAAAAAAAAAAGTAGTTACAGTAGAACTGGTAGAGAAAGAGGGCAGGAGCTTCAATTGCCTGAAGACAGAAGAGCGCCAAGAGGAGGGTCCATTCAACAGATAGTGACCTTAGTGTTCAAAACCTTTGATCTGGGGCAAGTAAACATGCACTCAATCTTGCACCTTTTTAAAAAAACCTTTTTTAAAAAAAAAAAAAAAAAAAGTAGTCCCTTATAAGACTGCTTAGAAATGCTTTGTCCAAAAATATAATTCTCATGTTTCCAGCACACAAAGCAAAAGGAACAAGTCCTCCTCGGGGCGCAGGGGAGCCTGAAGCCCGCTCACACCCACAGGTGAAGCTGCTCCCACCCTGCGCTCCTCGCCCAAACGCTCTCAGCGTACGACAGTGCGGTGTACGTGAGGAAGAGGCGTCTAATGCAGCACCCCAGCGTATAAGGAGACACTTCAGCAACATTGTTTTCAAAGCAACTGGGGTTTTTTTAAGTGCTTGGAGGTGAATTCCTCAGGCACCCACAGCTCCAGCAATTCTGCTGTGCCAGAGGAAAACAAAGCAGCAGATAACCGGCTCTCTACAACTCCTTACCTCATCGCAACGACAGCATTTTCCAAAAAGACTATCAAATTGAGTGAAGGATAGAAGTCACAGGGGTCTCTGGGACAGGAGCGACACCGCACAGTTCCTGGCACAACCAAAGTGCTGAGCACTGGTTTCGACTGAAGGACAAGGGCAGCCAACTGGGAAGGAAACAGAAAAGTGGCGATTTCCACCACTTCTCAGTTTCTCGTACCAGACGGGATATGTTGGCTACTCTGCTCCTCCAGTGCCTGGCAGAGGGTGAGAAATCCCCGATGGCGCTCTCGCTTCCACGCCAGCAACGTACTACAACAGCCCCGGGAAAGAAACCACAGCCGCGGCCAACTGCGTGCAAGACTGCGAGCTCCGCAGCCAAAAAGGCTGAACTAAGGAGAAGGCTCCCTAGTCGCTCCCGAAACACGCGGCCTTGCGAGGCCGAGCGACCAGCCTCCCAAAGGTCTCAAAACCTGCGCGAGTCGCCCAGGAGCTGCAGCATCTGGGAAAAATCACGGGCCATCCTAGCGGGTAGTGTTGCAACTGTGGAAGAAGTCAAAAAGCTATCCCAGCTCTCACTCTGATCGCTGAAGAGTCATATCCACGTATTTCCTTTGACTTTTTCAACAGTTAAGACTTACATGTATTTACGTAGGTTAAGGGTTTTTTAATTACTACCAAAAAAAGGAAAAAAGCCTTTTCAGATTTGTGAAGGAAAAAATCAGGTATTTTAGTAGATCCCAAAAAGTCAAAATATAGGACAAGACTCAACTTGAGACACACACACACACACACACCCCCCACCGGCCTGAGCCCTTTTCCCTCTTATCCAGAGGAGTGACCCAGCAGCAGGTAGCTCTCAGCTGTAACTTCTCATGCTCTCTTGTCACCAAGATTAACCGCTTCTCCAGAAAATTAAGCTTCTGTATTCTTGGTGACAAAACATAGTGCTGCTGTAGCAGGAAGATACTTTTTTTTTTTTTTTTTAAAGAGACACAATCAGCAGCCTCCAATACAGGCTGATACAGGCTCCTTCTCATAAAAGGAGCTCGGGTAACAACCCTCCCATCACAGAGGAGCCACATGCAGCAGTGCAGACCAAAGGCAGATGTTGGGAACTGATCTGTACCTGAAAAAACCCCAGGAATTCCAGGTTCTCTTATGCCATTCTTTAGTCACAGCGGGTACTTCGAGAGCCAACTGCTCACCCAGGCCCAGCTGACAGGCACCAGCTCTTCTTCCAGTTTCTGTGCTGGCAGGACAGGTCTTTGGCCAGGCTCTGAGAAGTGCTCTTTACTTAAGAAGTAAGCTCTTTACTTATTGCACCTTCACCAATAGTCAGCTGCATTCAACAGACTCAAATGGATCGCTTTGCAAAATGACTGCTT